ACAACCAACTATCTGTGATTTCTATAGTGGGTATGGGTGGTCTGGGTATAAAACTACTCTTGCCCAGCTCGTATATAATGATAGAAGGTAATGGATGGATTCAACCTCAAAGTTTGGGTGTGTGTCTCTGATGAGTTCGATGTGTTAGGGTAACAAAAACAGTTTATGAGGCAATCACTGGATCTAAGGATGATACCAATGATTTAAATATGCTTCAAATTAAATTGAAACAACAACTAACTCAAAAGAGGTTTCTCCTTGTTTTGGACGACGTGTGGAATGAAAATTTATGCTATGGGAGGCCTTGCAATCACCATTTAATCATGGGGCTCTAGGAAGCAAAATTCTTCTAACCACCCGTAGTGGAAAAGTTGCTTCAACCATGCGTTCTGCTAATATACTTTAATTAAGCCGTTATCAGAAGGAGATAGTTGGTCATTATTTAGTAGATATGGATTCCATGATGGAAATGTTTATTGTGCAAACTCCGACTTTGAAGAAATTGGTAGAAAAATCAGTAAAAAATGCAAAGGCTGCCTTTGGCTTTGAAAGCCATTGGGAGTCTCTTGTACACAGAATCATCTCGTGAGCAATGGAATGAAATTTTGGAAAGTGAGATATGGGAGGACAAAAGTGATAGCAAGATTCTCCCTGCTTTGAGACTGAGTTATTGCTACCTCCCCTCTCATCTCAAAAGATGTTTGCTTATTGTTCAATATTTCCCAAAGATTATAATTTTGATAAGGAGCACTTAATTCAACTGTGGATGGCAGAAAATTTTCTTACATGTGCTCATAAAGCAAAGATGGGAGAGAAGTAGGAGGAGAACAATTCTTTCATGACCTTTATTGAGGTCACTTTTTCAACGGTCACCAGTAGATAGATACACTCGTTTCGTCATGCATGATCTTATTAATGATATGGCAAAAGTTGAATATGGAAAGTTTTGCCATAGGTTGGAGTTAGATGATGTAAATAAGTTGACAGAAATGACCCGCCATATTTCATTTTTGAGAAATACTATTAATACATTCGAACGATTTGAGGTTATACACATGGCTAATAAATTGCGCACTTTCTTGCCTCTATCTATGCAAGGTCACAGAAGTACAAGCTGTAACTCCATTCTTCACTTTATATCTGGCAAGTTTACTCACAATTTGCCATCCAAGTTCACTTGCATGCGAGTTTTATCTTTGTCTGATCATGTCATCATTCAGTTACCCGATTCAATAGGAAACCTCAACATCTCCGTTATTTGGACTTATCAGGAACTAAAATAAGGAAACTACCTGATTCAATATGCCAACTTCATCATTTGCAAACGCTAAAGTTGTGGCGTTGTTGTCTTTTGGAAATGTTGCCAATGGATTTTCATAAACTCATGAATCTACGTCACCTTGATTTTCGTGAAACTCAAGTGAGAGAGATGCCAAAGCAACTGGATAAATTGAAAAATCTTCAAGTGCTATCATCATTCATTATAGACAAATCTGGAGAGACCAGCATCAAATATTTAGAAGGACTTGATCTTCATGGACCACTTTCCATCTCGGGATTGCAGAATATGGTTCCTTCCATGCTGCTTTAGCGGTCAATTTGAGAAGCAAGATACACCTAAAGGAGTTAACATTAGAATGGTGCATAGACAATGAAAAATCACCACATGATAAAGATGTGCTGGAGAACTTTCAACCGCATAAAAATTTAAAAAAGCTATCAATTGTCAACTACGGTGGTATTGAGTTTCCAAATTGGCTTGCAGATCATTCGTTGTCCGATTTAGTGTCCCTAGAGCTAAGGCATTGCAAATACTGTGTATCCTTGCCATCAATTGGCCTCTTTCCATCGCTCAAGTCACTGTCGATTATATAGGGTTTCATAATATAGTAGCTATTGGTCCAGAATTTTGTGGAAGTAGTAGCTCTAATGCTTCATCCCTAGAAATCTTGAGGTTTGGAGATATGAAGAGTTGGGAGGAATGGAAGTGTGAACTTGTGTCACTAACTTTCCCTCATCTTCAAGAGTTGAGCATAGAAAATTGTCCCAAATTGAAAGGGCAACTTCCTCAACAACTTCCTTCTCTAAGGATACTAGTAATTTCCAAATGTGAGAAGCTTTTGCCTTCCATTCCCCAGGATCCATCTCTAGATAAATTGGTTCTAAGAAATTGCGGAAATGAGCAGTTGGAGAGTCTTCCATCATCTCTAAAAGTCCTTGACATTTCTGGAGGCTTCAAAAATTTATTATCAGTTGATAAAATTAAGAATGTCATTGCCAATTGTAACCTCCAAGAGTTGAAGTGTTCTGATTCTCCCCACTTAGAATTCCCATTGTGCTATTTTCATAACTTCATTCTTGAAATGGAGATAAGAGGGAGCTGTGACTCTCTCAAGTCTTTTCCTCTGGATTTATTCCCGAAGCTTCAATCATTGAAGTTGATTGACTGCAATAATCTTGAAATGATGTCTGTTTCAGAGGGGAACCATTTTTCTCTCACAAACTTATACATTTGAAAGTGTCCTAGATTTGTACGTTTTCCTGAAGGAGGGTTTTCGGCCCCCAAACTGGTATTGTGTTGCATCGAAGAATTGAAGAATTTGAAATCACTGCCAGAGAAGATGCGCATTTTCTTTCCCTCTCTCATATATCTGAAAATAATATGTTGCCCACAAGTGGAATCATTTTCAGAGGAAGGTTTCCCATCAAATCTCCAATATCTTGATGTCTTGGAATGCCCGAAACTTGTAGCCTCTCGAAGGGGGTGGCATCTGGGTAGGCTTACTTCGCTGCTTCACTTAGGGATTGAAGATGCAGATGAGGAGTCTCTTCCTGATATTGGACTACTTCCGCCTACTATTACTTGTCTTTCATTCCATAACTGCCCAAATCTTAGATCATTGGAACACAAAGGTCTTTGCCACTTATCCTCGTTGGAAGGATTGGGATTTCGTGGCTGCCCTAAACTCCAGCACTTTCCAAAGGAGGGTTTGCCTAATTCCCTTTGCATGCTACAGATTATGGGCTGTCCCTTGCTCAAAAAGAAGATCCAAAGACAAAATGGAAAATATTGGGCAATTATTTCTCATATCCCTTTTTGTAGCATTGATGATGATGGAGTAGCATTTTAAGCGACCTTCTCACTCATGAAGGCATCAGTTTTCCCACTAATGCTATCCATTCCGCATTCACTCGTTAGGTATGTATTCACTCCTTTTTTAAAGTTTCAAGTGATGAACATAATTTTCTTTCTTTTGTCTATGCGTTTAAGATTGAAAGATTTGCCAGATTATCTGAATTTCAAATCATAAAAACTCAGCTTTATTTGTTTATTGCGCAAGTGCTGCACATGATGGTGGTTCCCAGCTTTATTCTGTTGGAATTCTAAATCATAAATATATATATCTCCTTATGTTTGCACTGACTTATTTATAGATTTGCTTGTTTATATGAAATTTTATTTTTGTAGATGTTAGATAGCAAAGGTGCATAAAATGAACATAATTTCTTTAACCAAGAACCTCCGTTACACTTCAAATTCTAATTCGGAATCATGAGTATTATTTTGCTGTTGGCTGTTTTTTTCACTTCACATTGTTAAACATGGCCAATGCTCCGGGTACTTTTATTAGGTATCTATTCTGTTTCATGTTTCTTTTTTCAAAATTTTGAACGTTGAGTAATGGAAGAAAATCTCAACTTGCTTTTGACAGGTTCTTAAAAACCAAGAATTTTCAAAGGAAATAACTATCAATATAAAATGCTTGTTTCTATTTTTAGTATGAAGTTTTATGAGAAATTGAAGAGGGGAAAAGTACATGCAACACTTTATTGCTTTTATCATTTGTCTTATAAAATAGGGTAAGGGGGGTCTCCACTTCCCTTCCCTTCCACTTTTCATCTTGATCATAAGATTGAAATTTTAATGGTTTAGGTTTCATATTTATAAAATTATAAATAAAATGTTAAATTTTAAAAAGAAAGTAAAATAAAACTACTAAATTTTAGCTAGAATAATTCAAAAAATACTAAAAATTACTTTCTAAAACATGAAATCTGAACAGTTTAAACTTTCATTCTTAATAGTTGCAATGAGAAGTAGATGGAAATAGAAGGGAAGGGAAGTGAAGAGACCCTTTACCCCACATGTGATGAATTAAAAATTCCTTTATGTTAACTAATAATGATATCAGATTAATTGATAGTTTATGGTGTAGTAGATGAACCAACATGAAACTGATGAGCTGGACAAATGGACTACGTTTTGACTGTTTATATTCAAATCTTCCCGGGGGCATCGATGTAATTAGCTTGGTCATGTGTGTGTGTTTGTATTCTGAAAGGCGAAAACTTAGCATCTAAAATGTGGGTGTTTATGTCAAATGATACTTACGGTGGCATTTCTATGGTCAATAGTGGCAGATTGACTTTTACGATGAATGCAGATATGAATTTGATGCCAGCGTTGTCACCAAAGTTGCGTGATCTTCCTGGTAGGCCATGTTTTAGTGTAATGCTGGCCTTTGCAGAACCTCTAACCTTAGTATGATAGCAGCTATACACCTCTAAAGTTATCATTAATAGTGAATGAAATCAGTATGGCTTGTTTGATTTCCTTATTCACTGCATGATTGGTTTTGGCTTGGCCATTTTCTATTTCCTTCTGTATACGTGGCTTGCTATCGAAATTGAAAATTGAACTTGGTAGGGAAGACGGGACCTGTCCGTGTAATTATTGTAGTTAATGATACTAAAACAAAATAATGGCTTGACTAGGTCTTTTAAATGTATACTGAAACATAGTCTTCTGTGAAACAAATTCAATTGATGGTTTAAATTTTTCAGATACTCTTCAAAGGCTTCTTCATTGAGAATTCTAGCACTTTAAGGTGGGCTCATTGCGAGAGCAGCAAGCCAGGCCGTTCTACTCATAGGTATTTGTTTAATCTTCCATCATTTTCCATTAATCTATAACTTATTCATTGCCAGTGGCATGTTTACTTTACAGTGAAAGGTGGGTTCTTCATTCAACAGAAGAATATGTAGAGGACATAATTGCTCAAACTGGACTCAAGAAGCCATCAGACACAACACTGAAAAAAGTGGCTAATGAGCTTTTCCAAGAATCTCAAAGCACAAGACTCGACATATCTCAACCCCTTTTAAGAAAGTCCATAGATGGTATGTAAATAGGAGTCCTGTACTGCTAATTCTTGCAACTTGGACATATGCGTCACATATCCAATATTTGGTAGGCTTGGACTGGAGTGTCTTAAGAAAAGAATCGTGAAAAGGACGTATTTGGATTGAGGAGAATGGGAGAGAAAATTTGATTTAAATATTTTCCCAACTTCAAATCTAACTCAAATCTGACTTTTTCCTTCATTCTTCTTGATTCAAGCATACCATTAAGTCGATATTTGTACAAGTTCAAATCAACATAACATTTTTCTTACGAAATCCAGATCTAAAGCATATCCCTGTGGGAATTTGTGCAGTTCTTGAGTATGTGATATAGCCGCTGTTTTTTAAACAGACCTATAAAAGGAAAGTCAAGGGGACAACCAGGTCAGATAAATGAAACAGTAGAATGGCGGTGGACTTAGTCTAACTTCAGGGCTACTTTTGTCCTTTTATTACTGCTGCCTATATTTTGACTCGGCTGTGTTTTTTGGGGGGGGGGGGGGGGGGTTTGTAATTTGGAGAGTGTTGCTTTAGGAAGGGATTGGCCTCTCGAACACCAGTGAGGACCTTGCTGTAGCTTGGTTGTTTATTTTATATTTTGATTTGTAAGTATTAGGGGATTAGGATTTTGAGCGGAACTAGCATTCGATTCTTATTTTGTAATTTGGTTCATATTTCAGTACTGTATTAATAAAAATCTCAGGATTTCCCCTCACTTGCCTCGTTCGATTGTTATATTTTCTTGATTTATCAGCTTTGTAGAATGGGCCCTATCAGTATATGTGTTGGAAAGATAGGAATGGTAATAATTATTTTCGAAGTCCATGGATTGGAAGCATGTAAAATGTGAAAATTTTGATAACTTAAAGCTCACTTGTTAGTTATAAAAACATTATATAAAGAATCCATGGAATGAACTTACTGCATTTTAAATTCCTTGCATTGTGAAATCCCTATGAACAAGTCCTGAGGGCATTATGCAAATAGAGACTGATTCGCTTTTCTTTTCTTTGACAGGCTCTTATATTGTGTCCATTGAACGTGAGAGACTCTTCTCCTCATGTTGTCCAATTGCTAAGGAAGGCCACCACTTTTTCCCTTTTAATATCAGAAGCAAAGTAGCACATCCAACTGCTCAATGTTCATTCATAAGTAAACTCCCATGAAATTGATTGCCAAGAAGGTGGTGTGCTTTTAGTGCTGCTCGAAACCTATCTTCCTCACATTCTGAGATTTTGTTAGTCTTTTAAAAGTTGAGTTTTTTAGCAGATATTGTAAGACAATAACTTCTCTTCTTTCTTGAGTAAAATTATAGCTGTTTGGGGTTGCACTAGGATGTAATGGCATCACTGCTGTAGATAGTTTACTGGTGTCATGGTTTGGGATTGTAAAAACTTGATTCCCTTCTTCATTAAACTGTGGTTACTTACCATGGATAGAGATTCTCTTGTTTTATACTTGAGAAATGAATACAAGACTTTGAAATTTGTGTCCAAATGTTTTCATGGTGAGTGATTTTCTTACCTTATTAAGCAGTTTTCTTGTTTAAATCCTTTGTCAGAAGAACTTTATTTGGAAAACAATATTTAATCGATTTCAACTTCGCTGAGAAACTCTGATAGAAGTGCGATATTCACAGCATTCAACTTTGTATATAGACATGCGATTCTAGCAAATTCTTGAAGACTATGGTATGAATAAACAAGTGATTTATTCAAGTAGAGTAAGTAGTTGTTTAAACCATTTAGCTTTAAGAAACTTCACCCACCATCCGCCTAAATTCTCATTCAACTAAGTCAACCGATGGGTAAAAATCTATACTAGCATTTACTGATTCTGGTTTACGGCCATGACTATGAGAATTATATTGTATTTTATTTGGGTATGCATTCCTCCTTGTTAGGAGCATTATCATACTTTCTTGGGAACAAGACGGGGAGTTGTTAAACTTTGAAAAGTTTAAAAGGAAATAACAGTTTTGACAATGTGTAAGATGGAGACTTCAACTTATTTTATTTTCTGTGAAGTGATAAAATTCCAACATAAGCCCCCCCCAAAAAAAAATCAGATTTTGATTATTAAGAGTTTTCTGTTCTATTGCCTTTTCCCATCTCATGATAGTCCTAGTGGATTTTAAAAAATTTTGTTATAATTAGGAATTTACTTGGGACCACAATGGGCTCCTTTTTTGAAAGTAATAATTAGGCGCTCTTCATTGTTTGCTCTTGGTTCGTAGTTTAAGATATCCAAATAAGAACAAGCCTTATTGACCTGAATGGCTTGTCTAATTACCCTTCATTGAAATCTTTTTTCTTTTTTCCCCCCACAATGACTTTTTTGCTTTGAAAATGAATTACAATTGCACTACTTCTTAACCACAATATCTTCATATTTGATGTTTATTTATATAAGAAATATCAAATATTCATTTCATTAATATAAAAAAACATATTTTTTGCCAACCAAATAAAAAAATTTAATAACACATTTCAGTAAAATTTTCACTTAAAGTTTTCAAATCACACATTTTAAATTAAAGACTAGTATGACAGTATTTAACTGCAAAGTCATAATTTCAATTTGTTGATTAAATTTATTGAGTCAACATTTTTTAAACAAAACTAATCATGTTAATATTAAGGAATTGAAAAATTATTTTAAAAAAATTTTAAGAAATTAAACTGAAACTTGATACAGATATAGATAACCAAACTTATATGTTCGCATGAAAATATGTAATTTTAGCTTATAAGATGTTATGACTCTCCATTGAGTTGTCTATCACAATGCATGGTGGTTTAGGCGTTGAGCACAATAATAATTAATGCATAGTCTAAACACATAATGTCAACGAAATTAAACAATGAAATGAATAAATTTGGTAATTAGATGTTCCTTTTTTTTTTTTTTTTTTCTTTTTGGTTGCCAGAAGTGAGATGTTAGAACTGGAACCTAAAAGTCTTCATTTTGATCGATATTTTGCCGCAGTCTAAACGCAATCTTCATTTTGATCGATTTTTTTCCGCACAATAAAGTCTTCATTTTGACCTTGAGCACAAAAATAATTAGTACACAGTCTAAATGCACAAAGTCATGAATTTGATTAACCAACTAATCACTGTATAGTCCTGCGGTACTTAATGTGAATCCTAATTAACTAATTACAGTAGATTAGGGTTGTTAATTAAATTAATTAATATGATTTTTTTAAAAATACTTTAAGAATCTTCCTTAATTTCCTCTTCCTTTCCTACTTGATTATTATTAGGAAGACATTAACAAGATTAATTTAGTAAAAAGATTGATAAACTTGTGAAATAAGTCTTACATATAAGATCAGCATCAACTCTTCAATTTGTATCTACGTTAAAGACCGGAGGAATAATATTTATTCGAAATGACATTATACATAATATTAAAATATTATAATTTATTTTTCAAGCAAGAGAGATCTGTGTAACTCTTTTTTTCCAAAAAATAAATATTTACGAATAATTCACGGAAAGATATATCAAATTGAATCATAATGTTTTTATACATAAATTCATATATAAAAATAATGAGTAAAACTCCTATAAGCAGTTAGGGGAGCACATGAACAGGCCACGACCTTGCCTAATATCTACATCGAAAGATGAGTTGCAACCCTGTTCCCTGACCTTGTCCACAACGATGTGGCAAGTCTTTGAAATTAAACTCACCTAGAATTTTTAAAGTGAAAAATAACACTTTTATAAAAAAAAATATTTTCAGAACTACAATATCTCATATTTAACATTTATTTATATAAGAAGTAGAGTATCAACCACTCATTTCATTAATAAAAAGAAAATAAAGGTTAATATTCTTTTTAATCTTCAATGAAGTCAAAGTTCAAGATTAAAAACTGCATTAGTTTTTGTTTACATAAATGTTTATAATAAAAATATATAATTTCAGCGCATGAAAGACGCGGAATCTCCATTAAATCGTAAAGCACAAGGCACGGTCGCTTTGAAGTTCGTGCTTTGATGGATATTTTCTTGCGTGGTTGACGGGATGAAGATGATAATGGAATGACTAATACGTGGTCCAAAACACTTCGTAATGTCAAAGAAATACAGCAATGGAATGAACTGGGAACTCGAAAGTCTTCATTTTGATCGATGTTTTGTAGCGCGGTTGACGGGATGCTAAAAACTGAATGCATTTTGCCATTTTCTGGCCAATCACAAAATCCACGAAGTCACACACTCCTTGCATTGCAATAACCTTTCCCACTTTCGCATTTTCATCACGTTCTTTTTCGTTTTGCGTTTGCACAAGCACAACATCTTCATCTATATGTAGCGGGAGCTTTGGTTGGCGGTGCTTTTCTTTCTGCTTTTCTTCAGGTGGCTTTTGATAGGCTGGCTTCTCGGGATGTTCTGGACTTCTTCAACAAACGAAAATTGAATAGACATTGCTTAATAAGTAGATTATAAACGAGGTTTTATAATTACAACCGGAAGCAGTAGTACACAGTATAAACGCACAATGTCATGAATTTGATTAACCAACTAATCACTCTATAGTCTTCCAATTCTTAATATAAGATCTATTAATTAATTTAAGTAGATTAAGAATGTTAGTTAAATTAGTTAATATAATATATTTTTCTAAAATACCCTAAGCATCTCCTTTAATTTCCTCCTTTCTTTTCTACTTGATTATTGTTGGGAGAAATTAATAGAATTAAATTAATAAAAAATTAACAAACTTGTGAAATAAGTCTTACATATAAGACTAGCATCAACTCTCCAATTAGGTCTTGGTAAGATCAGAAGAATAATGTTTATTCAAAGTGACATTGTAAATAAGTTAAAAATAGGGAAAATGACAATAAAATACCACCTGAATTCCAAAAAGACAAATAAGGGATCTGAATAAGCAAAATGACAAATAGGGCACTGGGTACCAATTTGGAATATAGATTTTCGGCCAAAAGACCG